TAAAATGCCTGCTCTCAAGTATATTCAGGAGTGGAAGCAATGCAGGTAGAACCTCCAAGACCAAGAGGTACCACGAGGCCATAGTCCATCGATAACATCAGGCATCAACCTTTTCTTTAGAAGTATAAATTGGAAAGCCAAACTCTTGAGAATTGTATGATTACATGATAAAGGAAATTTAAAGACTGTCATCAACTAAAGCATAAAAATTACATAACTGATGATACTATCCGAAAGTTTTAAGGAAGATTTTGAACATACGATGGAATCCCGCTGAAGTTTGTCAATATATCTGAAGAACGAGCGACGTAAGCAACAAGAAGGGCGTAATGGATGAAAATGTACGACCAGCTGCCGTTAGAAACACAGTTTCATTAAACGAAAAATTATTCAAATCAAAAGTGTGTGTGTAAAACTAAAAATACTTGATTCTCATAACTAAGAAAACTATGGGAGGGGAGAGGGGTTTAGATCAATTAATAATGGGTTAACATACATCAATGAATACCATCAAAAGACAGTTACTAAAACTTGTTTTCCTTTCTCTTTTTCACTCAAAGCAGTCGATAAATCACTATAGTAACAAGGCTCACTGAAAAAGTTTTGGAATTCAAGCAAAAGATAACCAATTTTTGCAGCATTAGCAATGTAAGATCAACCTACCAAGCTACTTGCACTCCTGTATTTCCTAGCGTTCTCCTGACCATTGACACCTGAAATAACCACGTTCCATTAGGATAAGAAATGAATGGAATTAGAAGTTGAAATCAAAGAAAGCATATCGGATTAGTATAGCCACCACATCTATAGGAAGTGAGGAAACAACTTCATATAAAAACGACGCGTGATGAGAAGTGTAGATGACACTTTATTAAACTTTTTAAAAGAAACTAATGTGAAATAAGACCATCTATTTAAAATATTTTAAATGTAAAAACGGTTATCTTGACTTCCCATTTCACATTATATAATGACAGATTATATCTGCTTTGAGAGAGGAGATAACATTAAAACACCCAACATGGAAAAGAAAAATGGAAGTTCAAATTTCTAAGTTCTGTGAGCATAAGCTTTTCTCCACGCAGAGTAATGGGTGGTCCTGAGTAATTTAACAAAACCATTTTCTTGAAGAAGGAAGAAAAGAAAATCTATGCTCAGATCAATAAGTATCATACCAATGACACACCGCCTGAACCAAGCTCACACATTGTCTTCACATTTACTTCCGCAATAAGTAGTCCAGTCACTACCTGCACCATTTTGGATTTCCAAGAATCTTATTGATGCCAGAAAATTGAAGACCGGTTTAGGAGTGGGGAGGAAAAGGGGTAAGAGGAATCAAACGTAGCAGTCAGAAATATAAGCAATAACATACTATTGATGTGGAGGTTATTACAGAGAAGAATCTATAGGGGCAACTAGTGAATTAATTAATCGACTTTTACATTTATACTGGTTTTCAACAGATTCTTGAGAAACCAGATTAGAAAATGATAAGAAAATGAAAAATGGAGAAGTTGAAAAAATGCTGAATCGTTTACCATAAAAATCCAGCAAATAATGCAAACTACTGCAGAGGCTAGAAATCCAGATTCTTGTGTGACGGCCGGAATAGCAAGAATACCTGCACCTACCTATTCACGACACATAGATGATAGTTTACTGTAAGTCCTTTCATTCATGTTAAATAAGAGTAAAAACATAGGAGACATGATGCCTAACGAGAAAGAATTTGCAATCAGAATACGCTCGAGAATTGTTGATATTCATGGAAGGAAGCTACTACCATCAAAATCAAAAAATGTACGCAGCCAGGAAAAACTCATATATTCATATTTTGAAATCGTCGACTTCCCCTCTTCATGCATTTCAAATAACTTTCTCATACTCCCTTAAGCCAATCAGAGTCTACACATTAATCAGGAATGGATATTAAGAATTGAGTGTCTGTACAGGTTGCTTTATTAACTTTCTTATACTAGTAAAAAATGTGGCTTTAAAGTTATAAATTTAATTAACTAAAAGCTTCTGGTAGAGTAACATTGGATAGGATGCTAACTTTCAGCAACGTAAATTTGGAGATTTGTTGAATAGCATGAAAAAGATTGTCCTAATAAATGGGAAGATATTTTGGGACAGTTAGAAGAAGATCAGTTGTATAGCAGAAAGCTGACTGTGCAGAAGTACAAGTCTTGATATGTAACAACCACATAAAATTTCGGAATGGGAGAAGATCACAACAAGAAGCTTTTTGGAATATAAGACCACATAAGAAAGCAGGCAACAGAAAAGTACTTAATACTAGGAAATGAACCAAGATTGCACATTAGAGATGAAACGAAGAGAAAGAAACCTTTGAGCTTCTTAACGAACCACTCATGATTATATAGGTCACACCTAGTAATAGTAATTCTGAATCTATGTGTTACAGGATCAGCAAGCATCCTGTAGTTGTTACACATGTCACATAACATCCCCCAGTCTTCATTTGTTTTCTTGGATGTGCTATATAAAGTAAAAAATGATAACATGTGAATATGTGATCACTTCTAATTTATAGGTAGTCGATGAGAGACATTCCCCATGTGACCATTGAACCTCATAATGAAGAAGATTACTTCATCTCGAAGCACTGGGGAAGCAAAGATATTAGTAAAATTCAATTCTCTGAAACAAAGAAGTAGCTAACAGTGAGCAGAACAAATTCATCCATTTGCATAGTCTTTTGAGAGTCCACTTAAGGACTACTTTTTAATTTTAATTTAGTCTCAACAGAAGCAGAAAGCTCTTTGTTTCTCTACCATTGCGGCTAAAAATGAACTGAGTAACCCCTTTCTATATACATTTTGCTCCTGTTTAAGAAGATTGCATCATCTAAAGATGCACACTCGATGAAATAGGGCCTGAAACTACATCCATATCCCACCAATATCAAGTCAGAAGTATCATGAAAGTTTGACACCGCAACTACAACAACTAGAACATAACATGATAAAGAAGCAACAATTACATGTTCTATAATTACAAAGAGCGTGTGGATGACATAAATTTAGTATATTATCATTAGATGATGCTATGTGATATATAAACAAATAATGTACACATGCATAGTTCAAACATTGTGAAAGGGAGAGAAAACTTACAGTGGTGCCAGCAACGAGAAAAATGGCACTGCTGAGGCTTCCTGAAACAATTGAGGAAGACAGTTAAACAAACACATAAAACGTCAAGATTTCCAAATAACATAATTTCTAAGGGAACTTGAAACACTTGCTTCATTCCGGACATAAAGTTTAATTTTCGGACTTTGATATTAGTCCCAATGCTAATCCATCTAGACCAAAAAATTTATTTCAACCAAAGTGCCGAATGTTGAACTATAAGGGTTGTTACTTCAACTATCTCTCCCACCAAGATCTTCCTCCTAATTCCTTATTTCTCTAATCCTTTAGACACTGCAGTGTTACAACCAGCTCAGCAATGCAATAATAGTGGGGTTAATTTCATTTACTCATATTTCACGTAATTTCACCAAAGTCACTAAAAATAGTTCAACTTTACCTAAATAACCAAAAAGCGATTCAACTTTGACTAAGTATCACAGAAAGTCACTAGGAGGAAACAATAGAGATATGGTGATAGTGGATATAATATTATTTCTATGATACTTCGGCAAAGTTGAGTGATTTTTGCTGTTACAATCCTTTAGTGACTGTTGTGATACTTTGAGTATTAGTTTTACATTTGGTAAAAGTTTTGAGAATTGGCTTAAGAAAATGGCATTGACCAGACCATTAAAGTCAAGCATGATGAAACAGTGAAAGATGAACCAAGAAAGCAGCAAATTAAAAATACCTGCTTCTCTCTTCAAAGTGGCTTGATTGAGGTTAGAAAACAGTCTTTCAAAGTCATACACTTCTTCCCTTATACCCACTACTTCTCCTTCCAATATTTCTTCAGTTTTTTGTTCACTTGACTGTCTTTGGGAGTAACACTTGAACAAAGTTCGTGACTTAAAGCTTTGAGAACAGCATTTGGGTAAAATCCTAGGAGGTACATAACAAGAATTTGAAGAAAATCTACGAAATGGGTTTTGCGTATGAGGAAGGGAAAGCTTGAAATGAAGTAATAGAGAAGAAGAAGAAGAAGAAGAAAAGGCCATTGTTAGGTGTTACACAATTAGAGGGAGTTGCCTCTTTTTGCTCGTTCTTGTTGTATTTGGTTCTGAGCTCTACCTGCTCTCTCAGCCAGTTCTTTCTGGTTTTTTGGTTGGTTGGACGAGAACTAGAGGCAAAAAAGAAGCTGATGTGGAATTTGGAAAACTTTGTGTTATAAATGGGATAAATACAATTTAAAAGCCAACTTCAAATTAATCTTTTAATTAAAATCGTCAAATCTTTTTTCCCTTCCTTTTGTTTTCCCTTTAATTTGAAGGTTATTTTTCTTATATTTTAGTGGGAAAGATGATGTGCAATTTCCACATAGAATTTGTCCGTCGAGCTAATTTACAGGTTAGGCTTGTCACAAACATCATAGGCACGCTGCTTTCTAAAAAAATTGAGTTACTCTAGATATAAATCACGAAAAGCTTAAAATCAAGTAATAATTCATATTATGTGTCATTTACATAAACTTTTCCCATTTGTTTGGTTAGTTAATTTTCAATGGGGGAAGTTTTTAATCTCAATTATTACTAATCGATTTATTTAAGCATAGTTAATTTATGTAATTTTACCTTTATTTTATGTAACTAAAGATAATTACCAACATACAGCGATTACGGATAAATTTTTCCTGCACGTGGTAGGTTTTTTCTAATTAATATAAGAAACACAAACCAATTATAATGGTATGTTAGTAAACCTATAAACCAAAATCAAACAGCTATAAAACTGAATTTCCGATATAGATTCTTGTCATTTTTAAATTTAGATTTAGGTTTTTATTTAGATTTAGCGGGAACCTATTTTATTTGGAAGAAGGGGAAAAAGAAAGCGGTATTAAACCAAACGACTGTATGCTTTTTCACTATAATTGATCACAATATCAAGAGGGCAAATGCATCACAAGAGCCAACACCAACACCAAATCCAAAGTACATTTACTGTTCTCTTTTTTTTCATCTCTTTCTTTTTTATTCAGTCAAATCTCTCCCACCACCCTACAGCGAGGGAGAAGAAACAAACTGTCTTGGTAAGCTAAAAAGGTCTCTCTCTTCAAAAGGAGAAGTCCACTCCCGAGAACCACCAGCCGACGATTCTGCTGTACTTGCTCCATCGTGCAACCCGGGAATCGGTATACCAATCCCATTGCGCAGATCAGGTCTTATGGTAGACTTTACAGCGAGTCCAGGGGTAAATGAATCATATTTACGAGCATGGTTTTGCATAAAAGAGTTCATTGTTGGCCACATACCACCTGTTCTCGACGACAATGAGCCGCGATCTAAACTCCAGTCTATGTTGGCGTAATCTAGCTGCTGCAGCATTGAGCCACCGCCGGTGTTCCAGTCAACAGGAGACGATGGCCCAGAAGTACCATTGGTGCCCAACCCGGAGAAGAGTCCAAGTGAGGAAGCTGCAGCAATTGTTTGTGTCTGGGATGCACCTGTGTTACTCCACAAACTATTTCCCCGGTTAGATCCTGGTGATTCGAGTGTGCCATTGCTGGAAACAAATTGCTCTGGATGCGGGTGCTGTTGATAATGAAGCCGGTTATACAATTGGTTAGTGCTGACACCATTCATGCTCAGGCTTCTTGTGCACGGAATATGTGGAATCATACCATTGGGTGTCATTGTTTCAGCAATATTACTAGGATACCACGACACTGCTGTTCCTGGAGGAGATGAGCTTACATTTGAGGTGGGAGTGTGCCTGGCATTGACAGACTGGGGTCGTTGCATGACTATAACTGGTTCTCTCACAGTTCCTATCTGTAGATTCTTCAATTCATTTCCAACAGCCACATAACGAGCTTCTGTCTTGGGCGGTGGAGGTGATGCCTGCAAAGAAGATGCCAAAGAATAGGAAACAGAAGGATTTGATCCTCCATTTGGCCACCTTTTATCAACAGGTACTGACACTTGTGGTGACATGGCCCAGTCCAATTTTGGCGGAACCCTTTTCAGCAATGGTATGTTTTTGCTCCCAGGATCCAAAGGAGGCCCTGCTGCGGCAGCAACTTTAGTATAATTGAAGTCTTTCTCATCTCTCTTTGCTGGTATTGTACTAGATAATGAAGGTTTTACAGGTACTCTTGTTAGAATCTGGCCGGTGGCAATTGGTAGCTTGCCATTACCCACAGTAGGAGGATCGCCAGTTTCTTCTGGCTTGGACGGAACAGAGGCGGGCTCCTGCTTTTGTGATCTCAAAGTCTCTTCAGCCTTTTCAAGATCACCCTCGCAGGCAACTACTGCTCTTTCAACCTCCTGCTTGGAGCACTTATATCTAATTTCCATGTGCGCGATGCGAGCAAGCTCTTCTGATATGTCAATTTTCAAATTACCCCCAGTATCAAGATTGTGTTCCTTGTCTTTGTTTGCTTCTTCGCCTCCTTCAAATAACCATGCTACTGACTCTTCTACTCTGCCTTCATTCAGAATAAGAGCCATAGTTGACCGTTCCAAGGAGAACCCCATAGCCACAAGCTGCTGAGCAAGTGCTTCCAGCTTTCTTGACATGAGATAGCCACTACACTTTTCATGCAACTCTTGTGCTCGCTTCTCCTTCTGACGTTGATGCTTCCTCTCATTTTTCTGACGGATTTTTTCCCGCTTGTCATTATCAGCACCAGGTAATATCTCTTGTCGGGAAGGAAGATTAGAAGTTCTCTCTTTATGATCCTCCGACTCACCAGACCAGCTACCATTATTGGAAACAGCATCATACTCTCCACCAGCTCCGAGAGAGTGCCCACTAGGGTCATCTGTCTCATCAATGTTTCTGAAACGACCATTGACATGAAGAGCAGCATTCGAAGTCACAGGAGCTGTGTCAAGTGTATGGAATGTCCCCAGAAGAGGATTGTATCCACTAGTGGGAACCCCACCGCCTGCATTTGCACTTGAAGGCTTTGAAGCAACTTTGGGTGGTTCCTTGCTCATCTTTTTATCCTTTGACTTGGACCTAGCTGCCGGAGACATTACTGCAGCTTCTAATTCCAAAACCTATAGCAGTTGGGAGCTGTCAGGTCAGCAAATAACTAAAGCAACTTCAAGCAGACAAGGTAAATTTTAAATATATATTAGATACTCATTATTTTATCGGTAGGAGCAAAGAACCAAGCTATTTAACTTTTTGAACCAACGCATTTCAGCAAAAAAAAAATGTATCAAGCTTCTCTCTTCTTTTTTTTACAAGTTTGAAGAGAAAAGTATCTTTCTGAAGTGCAGAGCTCAAAGGAAAGGATAATACAACAGTCTCAATGAAGGGTAGATGATAGTAGAGGCCTGCACCCATCCCAATCTATAGTAACATCAAAGACAATGATATTGGATTATAAACAGAAGTTCTTTGATTTCCTAGGTTCGTATTGACATCTCAATATCAACTATAGAAAAGAAGACAAGATATGATTACAAATGAGAATGGACAACACCTAGTCGCCAAATAATTTTAAGATCTTTGCCTAGAAAAAAAAACTCAGTTTTAGCTAGCCAACCAAGTGCCAAATGTCCACAATGGCATTTCAACAGGCCATATTTAATTCATAGCAATCAGAAAAGCAAGCTTAAAGTTTCAAATAGTTGATAATTCAAAAGTTTCAAATAGTTGATAATTCAAAGGATATAGGCTAAAACATTGTCCAAAATCACATGAGGAAAGGAAAAATGACCTACTAGAACATGAGAAAACCCGAACATATGTTATTACAGTATATTTTCATCAATTATTTAAACTTGAAGAAAAGATAATTATCTGACAAAAGGAATTCTACTGAATGTGGTGCTAGTGGCAGCATGGTCATAAAACAAGAAAAGAGATAGTCTCACCACAATCAGAGTGCAAAATTAAGCAAATAAACATAACACGTGAAAGAGCTAAGCCAACAAGAAAACCAAGGCCCAATATAGGTAATTGATAGATGAACATCCATCCAGGTAACCCAACTTACAAGCATGGGTTACCGTCGGTTTTGTTTCTACTTTATCAAGAAACTCTTTGGGTTTGTCTCTGTCACCCTTTGTTTTGTGCCCTTCAACAGTTGTATGTTTAATGTTACTTCCAAATATATCTATCCCCCCCAACCGCGGGGGAGGGGGGGGGGAGAGAGAGATGTATGTAATTAAGCTGTTCCACTGTCTTTAATGGCTCATTTGTACTTAAAATTAGTAAAAATGAGCAGTAAGACGTGTGCCTTCACCTTAGGCCCACCTTTATTTTCCTTCTACTAGCACTAGTGACTCACTAGGTTAGTCACAAAATGGAATTTCAATATATAAANAAACCAGAGAGAGAGAGAGAGAGAGATGTATGTAACTAAGCTGTTCCACTGTCTTTAATGGCTCACTTGTACTTAAAATTAGCAAAAATGCGCAGTAAGACGTGTGCTTTCACCTTAGGCACACCTTTATTTTCCTTTTACTAACACTAATGACTCACTAGGTTAGTCACAAAATGGGATTTTAATATATAAAAAGTTCATTAGATCACGAATCTAACAAGAATCGCTTGACGGAGGTAGTGGCGATAAGGCTTTTCTTTTTCTTTCTTTTCCAGTATACCACTATGCAAGCAAAGCAAAATAACATAAATTTTTTATAAGGACAATTGAACATAAATCAAACCAAATGCGAGGAGACAAGTAAGATCGTTGAAATTATAAGAGTCGTAGATCATCTGGCTGGTAGAACCTAAGTTGCTCAGACTCTTCACTTTCGGTGCCGCACCCATGTCGACATGACGTTGGTGTTGGTGTGGGATCCGTAACCGAAGTCCGGAACTGGTCAACCGATTTTTGGGTAATTTGACCAAAATCGACGGAAAAATTCGGCACAGATACAATAATTTTTGAAATCAAAACAAAAGTTATAGTGAAATTGAAGAAAATAAAATACCTTTTATATAGAAATTCTATGTCAGTCCTTTTCCTTTTATCTCCTTCTCGGATTCTCCTCTTGATCAATATTTTCTCCTTCTCGGAATACGTTGTAAGTTTTTCACAAATGTCTCATAATATAGACATATTTTTATAAATCTATTTTCAGATATTTGAATTATTTTTAGTCAAATCCCCGCACCCATATTTGTACTTGGATTTGTAACCCCGAATCTTGAAATTTAGATCATGAAGGATCTGACCTCTAGATTCTCACTTGTATCGGACATCTGCACCTGAGTCCGAGCAACAGGGTAGAACCAATAAACATCTTCACCATCTTCTAGTGTCAAATTATAATCCCATTCTATCTCTCCCTCGTTACGAACAAAAAAGTGGGGCTGCGACTTTGGTATCTTAGAAAAAGGACCCATCAAACTTGCTCAAAGGAATAGCCTTATATTTGCTAATATTGGCTTGTCCAAATCCCTTAACTAGCACCCCCAATTGACAAGAACAGTCACAACTTATAACATGAGCCCCAACAATGTCTTACATGGACCAAAAGCTAGATAAAGTGCTCTAGAATGGTAGACTAGTATTAAGAGCTCACATATTTTATACTCAATCACCATCCTCATGTTGTTACAAATTCAACCTTAAAATATGTCATATGCAGACACTGATTTACCCTCTCTGTAAAGTTATCTTATAGATGTACTCCTATCCAACTTTTTCTTAAAGTTGGCCCCTTCTTTACATCAATAACATTCTTTCAGTTACCTATCAAAAACAAAATATATATGCAGACACTGATTTATACTATTCTCACTCGATTTAGAAGCATAGCTTAACAACAGAAAAGACACTTAAATGCGCTGAACAGGGGAAGTTTCAGGAATGTGGATTTTCCTCTCAAAAGTAAGAAATGCAGAGAGATTGATTAAATTACAATTATTATTATTTATTTATTTTGGTCAAGAGAATTTAAATTATAATCTTTTTTACAAATATAAACCAGTGTTATCAAAAGCGAAAAGCGCAAAAAAGCTCTAAGGTTTGTTGGGGCTTTAAGCGCAAAGCGCAAATAAAGCGTGGGCTTGAATGAAGAAACGCGCAAATGGAGAAAAACTACAAATATGTATGTATACTCCAAGACTAATATCTATAAGCATGAATACCAAATATATGGACAAAGAAATTGAAGAAAGTTTACAATAAAGTGAAATATCAATTGTTTAGTGTCGCCTCTACCGAATTACGCTCGTTAGCAAGGAAAAGTATGTCTTAGAGCCTTGATGACAACACTGAAGCGCCAATTAAGCGAGGCGAAGCACTCAACATGTTTTGAGCCTCGCTTCAGGGTTTAAGCGCGCTTTAATCACGCCTTTGATAACACTGATACAAACAGAAACTGAAAGGATACAGCTGAGGGACGAACAATGTAAATCTCATGCATGGTCAAAGTACTTATTTATTTTATCAGTAAAGTCCATGTCATTATTTAACACTCCATTAAACAAGCAAATACGAGGGATTGATAAAGTTTCACTTTTATTTTTTCCAGAATATCCTTTGCAATTACAGGTACACCAAAACCAAACCAAAGCAAGCCCTTGCCACTTCTATAATTAGAAAACATAGCATGTCGTAAATCTTCACACTCCACGTACGCAGAAAATTTTGTAAGCGGTGTCGAAATTTATAGAAGAACTGGAATATAACTTTGATTATCATACTTTTAGACAAGAAATAGCCTTAGTCTATTGGTTTTGTTGAGTTTTAAGTTATAAAAAGTCGTGATTCCAATTCTAATTCATCACAATTTTTAACCACAAAGGCTCTCTCAAATATTTGCAAAAGAAAAATGTGCTAGCTGAGGTTTGAACCTTTGACCTCTCTTAGAGCAAAATCAAGCACATAACCAACACACCAAGACACAATTTATGTCAAGTGGTGTCATTTTATCATACTTATCTGTTTTAGTGCAGTATTAATACATATATTTAGTAAAATTTTCCGACAAAGCGGTGTCGCGTGACACCGCTTCGGTAAGCGTGCATCCGCCCCTGCTCACACTCAAGTTCTTACAGCCATTTACAAATTCCTCAATGTCCCATAGGTCAAAAAATTATCTCTTTCTCTCCATGTGTGTGTGTATAACAATCCAGATTGAGCTATTAAAAACGTCATGTTATGACTTTATATCAAGTCAAACTGCCAACATATTTCATTGGCAGAAGCCTCTGAAGATGTGTACACTATTGGCTTTACCTCTAGTCAAAATCAATAGCAGCAGTTATCCTTTTCTTTTTTGTCCTTTTCTAAGTAATTAGCAATTATCCTTGATTCCTTTCTTTTCCATTGCCGGATGCATATGAACTTTGAAGAAATGAAAAGCACACTGAAGTAATATACATACTGACTTCAACATTATAATCAAAAACACCAAACTGTCTTACAACCATAGAATCAGATCTTAAGAGGAAACGAATATTCTCCACATCCCCAAAGTGGCTGTCTGTTATCTTGCATTTACTCTAGTAAGTTCCTTAAACATTTCTTTTTCTATTTTTATAGCAGCAAAAATACTTCCCTATGCATCATGGCTAAGAATAAATCACTTGTCACCTTGATTTATCTTTCAAATGTATTACTAAAATTTAAACTGCTTGCAACTTATAGTACGTTTTGCAAATTTACAATCCCTAAACATGGTTTGCATCTATTCGAGCTAAAACAAAAAAGCACTCAATTGACCAAAAACAAGATAGCACTCTAAACTATGGAAGCCAACATTCCCTTATAATTTTACTATCAGATAGAATGACACAGCACAAAAGAGAGGTGAAAATTGGTCTTCTTCAAATGACTGCCAGAACGCTCAATCCATTTCTCAATATCAAATTTCCCTTACTTTTTTATGACATGGTGTTTGGGCCAGCTTGCGTACACCTCGACCATTCCACCGGGTGACTGATATCTCCCACCACCAGTAGAGGTACCGATCAAATTTCCAATTTGACACAATAATTCTCATAAATCAATCAATAATGCGCACATAGACAAACCCCCCTCCCACCCCCACCCCAATGCATTTCTTCAGCTAAAGAAACATAATCATATACCTCTATATACATATAAACTCAAACATCACCCAATACAAAACACACAAATGCAAGCGTCCTCACTCCCATAGCATCAAAACACGAATTCCACTCTCCATTCCACAAATCTAGCAACTCCTCAACTACAACAACAAATCCCAAACCCTAGAACACAAAATTCAAAAGATTGCGAAAAAATTTAGAAGACAAACAAATTCGTATAATTCACCAAATGGGCATGCAAAACAACGAAACAATTCAGAAGAATATCACAATCAGAAGCTCTAATAAAGACCGATCATAAGAAGACAAAAAGGGCGCGGGGGTGGGGGGAGTGGGAAATGGGAAAGGGAAATATGAACGTACCTGTAACGGAAGAGAAAGGGACGGATCGATCGAGGAAAACGGTGTGTGGGCGGTGAGAAAGAAGAAGAATGAGAAAACGCGGGGAGAGAGAGAGAGAGAGACGCAGAGAGATTGGAAAAATTGGATATAGACAGACAGAAAGGGAAAGGAGAGAGAGAGAGTATGTAATACGAGGCTGAAATGAAAACTGAATCAACGGAATTAGGGTTTTTTTCTTTCACTTGTACAATATAAAAATTGGATTAGGAATTGGATTTTTCTAATTTTTGGAATTTGGGGGAAAGATGGGGGAGAGATGGAGAGTAGTATTAGAAGCTATTCATCATTAAATAATATATGTATAAAGTTATACGGAAATATATATATTATTTTATGCAATATAGAATATAAAATAAGAGTCGTGTAATAGATATGTAAGTAATTCATATATAACAATTATTTTAAAAGTAAGTAAATCATGTGTAATAATCATTTCATTATTAATCAAACCATAACAATCCTTTCATATTAATCATCACATACAAATCATTAATTATTAATTACTATATAACCAATTTGTACATTATAACCCTCACATAATTAGTAAGTGAACCAAATAATCCCTAAATGAAGAGAAAAAAAGTAACAAACATTGTTCTTTTTTCTTCCTTCTTCTTTTTCCCTTTTGTGTAGAGTCAAATAGACTGAGTAGCATATTATATCAAATTAAGTATGAAATGCTCCCTTATCCAAAAATAAAATAAAATTATATTTACAAATTCCAACATCTTATTATTAAAGTAATAATAAATACAAACGGTGAAGTTGACATGGAGTAGTACTACAACACATACATCTTATATATATATAAAAATTTGTCATTAAAAGTTTCAACTATAAATCGATCTTTTATTTATTGTTGAAACCTTCAGTAACAAACCTTTTAAATTATCTCACTTTCTTTCTCCTAGCAGAAAAAGTGTGCCTAGAACTCCTTGACTGCTTGTGCCTAAACTCCATTGTTTCCAAGGAGCACTAAACTTGGTAAAAAAAACAACCTACTTTTTACCATTTCGCCGAATAAAAAAAATTGATATGCATTATATTGAATGTGTTAAATATTTTACATATTTGAGAGTGAGGGTGATTTGGTAATTTAGGAATTCCAAATAATTCTTCATATAATAGTATCTTTCTTTGCAAGAATATGATTTTATGGTTATTTTTTATGTTATTTATTTTGTAGTTTGTGACATATGTGGATGCAACCCCACACAATATTTCGGGATAAATATATAGCAGAGTGATAATAATAAGAATAAAGACAAAAATAAAGGTAAAGTAGTAGAGATCTTACTTATGTAGCTCCATATGAATAGTAAAGAAAAAGTTAAAGACCCTTGAGCCATATAGAAAGTGTACCAGTGCGAACAATTTAAATAAAAATCATATAGTTTTCTTATGATCAAACGACTATGAGTTCCTTCCCATTTATTACTAAGATAAGATCGTGTTATGACCCAAAACTATCAACCATACACAGTCATGAGCTCCAAAATATAAGTACAAGTCTGTAATACAAAGTACAATACTATTTGAATGAAAATAACAGTACTAAATGAAAAGAGACGCCAAGACAGTGGTCGAGATACAGCTCTACCTCGTCTCTCAAAGATAATCTCAGCAACAAGTCACAGTTATTGATGGCTCGGTCCAACACTTGGATCTGCATAATTAAGTGCAGAGTGTAGTATAAGTATAATCGGCCGCATATACTAAGCAAGTATCATAACTAACCTCGGCGAAGCAATAGAAGCAAGAATTATTAGTGATACTCGTTATTCACCTGTACAGTTCATAATTCTAACAAGTACAAAACAATAATATGATCAAGTCATGAACCACAAATAAAATTCGCCTTGGTGCACACAACAACTTAACATACTCTACTCGGTCAATAATCCAGCATATAAAGAAGATATGTAAATAAAACAGGTAAACCACCAAGGAAACTACAAGTAAAGAAGAAATGCAATAACCGAATAAAATCACAGATCAACTTTTCTCATACCGCATATACACCATCAACATAGAAACATGAGAGAGTGGCCCTAGGAGTCGCACGACGTATTCACGTGCTAATAATCACAACCGCACAGCGCATTCACGTGCCAATAATCACAAATGCACGACATATTCACGTGCCAATAATTATAACCGCATAGCGTATTCATGTGCCAATAATCACAATTGCATGGCCAATTCACGTGCTACCCGCAATCCATAACACACAGAAGGCAGATATACAAGATTATATGTACATGATCAATGAATATCAAATTTCATACTCCTGGACTGATATAAGTAACATGCTAAAGTGTATACATGTACAAAGTGTGTTATCATAGCTCAAGTCAGGCAATTTATGTTCAATCCGGAGATTAACCTTTATCTAACCTCAAACATAGTTCAAATAGCTCACAAAAGGGGTACAAATATAAGAAATATCACAGCAT